ACAAAGAAGCGATTATTAACCCACCACTCAAGAAGTGAATCTACATCTACCTCTTCCTTATATCATGGATATAGTCTATGCTCTATGAGACCATTTGGTGGCTGATCAAGTTGTTATCTTTCCATGAGAGAAGAAACTCCTATCCCAGAAGATAATGCAAATCTCAAGTATTGTTGGAACCATAGATACAAAAAGCATTCAACAAAAAATTATCATAACTTGAGATTTTTATTTCATGAAAAACTAAATGTGAGGGAGATTATCTTTGACAATGAAGATGTCGTGCACAAAAATTCCCTACCACAATATCAAAATCGCCATAAATGGCTAAGTGAAGGCTATTTCCTATGATCTTATCGAGCCGTGAGGAAAAGATTTCGATATGCATGTTTACTAGGTTGCTCCTAGACACACCATACCCCATATGAAGGAAGTAGACAATATTGACTCGCTCAATTGCACATTCTTTGTTAAAGAGTCCTAATTGTTACTAATGAACTTAGTTTCAATTCTTGTAATTCTAAAGTGTTTCTTCCTAATAAAAAAGAACAAGTTCTTTTGAAGATTGATTTCATTTTATGATTAAAAATTATTTAATCTTTATGGTGAAAAAACAAAAGTACTTGGCACCCAAAAAAAAAAAAAAAAAAGAATGAACACAAGGGCAAAAGAGAGTCATACTCTCAAAATTTACGAACAAATATGTCCATCCGGCTAACTCCGCATCCCGGCTAACTATGAGGTCTTCTTGTTTAATTTTTCTTTTTTTGATGTTAACACTATATTCATCTAGCCAAACTACTTTGTTCAATTGTGAATATTTCATACTTATTTTTTTTATTAATGGCAACATCATGCTCATTTGACCAAGTTGCACACTCGGCAAAACCATGAGCTCTTCATGCTTTTTTTTTTTTTTTCTAATGATAATGCTATGTTTATCTAGCCAATTTTTGTGTCTGGGTAGATTGTGAGCTCTTCATGCTCAATTTTTTCATTTTGATGGTAAACTCATGTTCATCTAGCCAAGTTTTGCTTTGGCTAAGCTATGAGTTCTTTATGCTCGATCTTTTTTTTTTTTTCCTTTTCAAGATGGCAACACTATATTTATTGGCCATGCTATATCCCGGTTAGGTTGTGAGGTCTTCATGTTTAGTTTTTTCTTTTTAATGGCAATACCATCTTCATCCGGTAAAGCTACGTGCTGCCCATCCCGTGAGTATTTCATGCTCATTTTTTTTAGAGTAACATTATGTTTATCTAATCGAATTACGTGTTGATCAATCCGTGATTATTTCACACTTATTTCTTTTTTAATGGAAACATTGTATCCATATGGCCAAGATGTGCGCTGATTAGATCATGCACTTTTCATGCTTAGCTATTCTTACATGATCTTTTCACCTTTTGAAGGAAGTATTTGTTTGACGGAGAACATTCGTCGATAAAGCCCATCATGGAATAGGTCATCTAAACTAAGTATGCTATTACTAGGTGCAAATGATTCTTGTTGCAAGTATTTTAGAGAGTTTAGTTTTGGGATTAGTCTCCCCATGTCTTACTTGTTTGCTTTGTTTTCTTTTTCTTTTTTTTTTTTTTTTTTAATTTCATTTCTTTTTCTCTTTTCATTTTCTTTTACAAGGCTATGTGCAAAAACTTGATGGAATTCACACCAACTTTTAGAAAATCTGCTCTTTTGTTTAAGGAAGTTCCAGTACCTCATTTACTCACTCATTTTTCCCTTTTTGTCGATAATCTAGTTTGTGCTTTATTTTTTACATTAGGGACAATGTACATCTTTTAATATGGAGAAGGGGTAAAATTTTGCGGATGCTTTATTATGTGAAAGCATATGACGTGTATTCTCATTACGCCTAGGAGTGACGATATCCGGCCTATGATGGGAATGCATAGTTATTTGCATGCATGAAGTGATGATTAATGTGCATCCGTGAGTATTTCATACTTATTTTTTTTTAAATGGAAACATTGTATCCATATGGCCAAGATGTGCGCTTATTACATCATGCACTTTTCATGCTTAGCTATTCTTACATGATCTTTTCACCTTTTGAAGGAAGTATTTGTTTGACGGAGAACAGTTGCGATAAAGCCTATCATGGAATAGGTCATCTAAACTAAGTATGCTATTACTAGGTGCAAATGAATCTTGTTGCAAGTATTTTAGAGAGTTTAGTTTTGGGATTAGTCTCCCCATGTCCACTTGTTATAGCCTTGGGTTCAAATAAGGTGGTCTACGGTGTTTTCGGCCGGCCAATGACGGTGAGAGGCATCTCGCACCTTTGTGCATGTTAAAGGAACTTACTCCCCGATCCTGCTGGCCGTGATGTCCGAGCTGCCATTGGTGCTCTTGGATGGAGAAATAGCGAGCATTATATTACGACCTAATATCCGAACTTTTAGGGCTTTATTTTTGGGCCTTGCTGCTTGTTATGTCTAAGAAAATTTTTGAGGGATGATTTTCTTAAAATAATAATAATAATAATAATAATACTTGGTTCCAAAAATAGAGTAAATTATAAATTAGTGCCTCTTCCTTTAGGAAAGAATTAATTAGTACCTCTAGTTTTAAGAACTAATTATTTAGTTTTTTTTTTCAATTTTTTTACGAAATAGAAAAGGAATTAAAAAATAAGTAAAAATATGAATATATTGATGAGAAAAAAATCTTATAAAATATAAAAAAATATTAAATTAGTCATGATCAATCTTAGTTAAAAAGACTAAATAATTAGTTTTTGAAAAAAAGAATCAATTCATTTTTCAAAATGAAAAGGATTATTTTATAATTTACTTTTCAAAAATAGCATCAAAATTAAAAAAGAAACAAAAGATCAAAGTAGGATATGCTGGAATAATTATTTACTCTAAGAATTCCTAATCATATTTTATTCTGATTAATGAGTTCGAATGACTTTTTCTTTAACAAATATGTAAGAATAAAAAAATCTACACATAGATAAACTAAAAATCAAAAACCAGTCAAAAGAAAAAGAGAAGGCAAAAAGAAGATTTGAGTAAAGCCTTTTGTCATCTGTGTTTGAGAGAGAGAGAGAGAGAGAGAGGGGGGGGGGGCGTGGGGACTTGTAACTGGCAGTAGCACGGACATGTTTTTTCTTCCAAAACTGACCCTCAGAACCTACCAAAAAAATACCGATATAAGGCAACGATATGAGGTCATTTAAGTCATTTTATTACAATTCTACCCGAGATCGGTCCACGGAATATCTTCAGAAAAAAAAGTGCTTTGTTATTCCTTCGCGGCTTAATCAATCCTGCCCCCGACTTACTTTTATCTTTATCTTTTTCGTTTCTTTTTCTTTTATGCTATTAACGTTAATTTATTTTTTTTAATTTTTATAAAAGTGAATGAATAAATTAATTGATTTTACATTTTATAAAAAAAATATTTCCATTTTCATATTCATATATATTTGGAGGAATTCTTCTCCATTTATATCAAAACCAAAACTTATAATATTTGAAAATAAATAGATATTTTTCTTGAAAGTTGAATACCAATGAATTTGAAAAAGGATTATCAAAAAATGAATACGAATTTTTAAATATTTTTTGCATCTAATAATATTGGAAATAGATAATGAGACATGTGTTTAAAGTATAATAATCGATCTCATAAGTTTATGTTATCTTTTTTATTAATTTTATTTTGAACTTTGATTGTTTTATGCCATCGAAATCTTGAATTTGTATTTATATAAATAATCTATCTCTATTTATCATGTAAACCCAAAATAAAAAAACAAAAATTACATATAGTAATCCAATTTATCTTTTTTTTTCTTTATACTCCAGAAATAAACTATTTGTTACCAACTTTCCATGAGTATAAATTGATTTTAAAATTGAAAGTTCCAAACTTTTTAAATTAGAAAAGTAGACATAAACTTTGTAATAGCCACAAATTTAGAGGACACATATTGGTTTTTAAACCGAAAGTCTCAAACCTCTTATACTTTTGAAATTAGAAAAAAAAAAAAAAACATAAATTTTGTTGTGGCCACACAAAAATGTGAAAAATGATATTTGAATTTTGAATCTCTTATTAGAAATCGACTACCATTGAGCCATATTTTGGTTAATTTTTTTTTTAATTTTAAAACGTAATATATTGTTTCACTTGTTGTTTCACTTGTTGTTAATCAAAATATGTGTTTAAGAGTTGAGACACCAAACTAATGGCACAAGTTTAAACTTTATCAGCAATTTGAGGTTAAATTAAGTTATTTCTTGCAAATCCTAAAATACTTGGTTTTAGAAGAAAAGAAGAGTAAGTTTAGTTTTCATGCACATATATCATTTAATTATAATGTAATAAAAACATGGAATCAAATTTATTTGATTGATTTATTAAATAATCCCAAATATATTTTATTATCAAATAAAAAAAAACTTAAAATTTCCAATTTAACCCATAAAAATCAATGATATTTAAAAAATACCAAAATAATTTCTTAAAAAGAAGTGTAAGTTAAGTTTTGTTCCATATTTAATAGCACTATATCATTTAATTACAATGTAAGGAAAACGTTGATAGTATTATCAATTGTATCGAAATTTTAATTTGGTATGCATACGCTGGTGTTATTATCAAATAAAAAAATCTTAAAATATCCAAATTAAACCATAAAAATTAATGATATTAAAAAAAATTGTTAGTTTTAATTCACGTAAAATTAAATAATCTATTTTTCTCAAGGAAAAAGAGAAGGAAAATCCAAAGACTTTATCTCATATTCCAACAAAGGGCTTCAAGCCTCAAGGATAGTTCCCAAAGCCCCAGCAACATCCGGACCCCATCATTTTCTTCCAGCTCATTTTTTCAAATCCCAGACCGCCTCTATCTTTCTCTCTCTGAAAAGCAAAAGCTATGCACTCCCCCAGCAATAAGTTTCAAATAGTCTTCTTCTGCTCTTTCTCTCTTTCTCTCGCTGCTTTGCCCCTTCTTAGTAAAAGTAATGGCTAAGCGTGTTAACCAAGTTTGGAAGGGACGCAATGTAAGCTTCAACATAATTGTCTCTTTCTTCTTTTGCTACTGCTTAATTTATGCTAGTATTGTCAAAATTATGATCTGGGTTTTCTTTATATAGTTTGTTTCTGTAAGATTTAGACTGATGGGTTTTCTTGGACTGATGTTTCTATGCTTTTTCAATGAGCTGATGAATTGGTTGTTGTTTGTATTGTATTGAGCAGCATTTTATGAAGTTCCTTCCATTTTTTGTTTTTTTTTTTAAATAAATATTGTTGGTTCTTGTTTTTAGCTATTATCTTTTATAGCTGAGTAACTAGTCTGAACCTCAACCATCTGTGGTGGAAATGGACACGTCCTGAAGCTTAATCTCGAGTTATATTGGCCTTCACTCCACACATAGGGAAAGTAGGCCTTTGAGCTTGTGTAGCTACAGGAGGGCATTGGGAAGTGTTGAACCTGAACCTGATTGATGTGGTGTTTGGACCTTGTTAATGATTGAATGCTGTTATCTTAAGTAGTATGAACAAAATCTTCAGATTAGGCTTTGGCATTGACCAGTGATAAACAATCTTTAGATGGTAAAGAAATGGGACATCAAAGCCTCATAATCCCGAGCTTAGATGCTTGTGGTTCTACTCTAAACAAAAAGGAAAAGAAAAATATTTATAGATTTAATTGGTTTATGTATATAAATTGATATATTTTTTCTCAATATTTTCCTGAATGTTTTTGTTTAATTAATTGGGTTCATTATGCAGATTTTCTTCTGCGGAGGGAGGCTTATATTTGGTCCAGATGCCAGGTCATTGGTTATTACCTTATTGCTCATCATGGTTCCCGTTGTTATTTTCTGTACAAATGTGGCAAGGAACCTCCTCCATGAATTTCCAACATATAATGGCGGCTATGTCATTCTAGTCGTAACAATTCTGTTCACGATCTATGTGAGTCCTGCTGATTCTTCCTCTGCTTATTAACTGCTGTTAGAACCTTTGATGCTTATCTATCATAGTGAAGATAGTGATATGGGAAATATGATGTCAATTTGTTTATTATGAAGTCAGAATGTTTCCATTAGATTGCCTAATTTTGTCTCACTGTCCCTATTTTCCATTAAAATGTTCATTGCTTTATAATCCAGTATGCTTTTTTTTTTTTTTTTTTTTTTTTTTTGTTCCCATGATGCTTTTATTATGTTTTGTTGCTTTGGCCTTTCTCCTGGTCAATGTTTTGGTTGCCTTCAGTTTATGTCTAGAAACCGTTCAATTTGACCGTAGGTAGTCATGAACTCATTATAGGTATTGGTGCTCCTGTTTCTCACTTCAGCCCGTGACCCAGGCATTGTTCCTCGAAATTTACATCCACCAGAGGAAGAGATTTGTTACGACTCTTCAACCTCCGTAGACGTTAGTGGGAGACACACACCAACTCCACGCTTACCCCGCACAAAAGAAGTGTTTGTCAATGGTTTTTCTGTGAAAGTAAAGTATTGCGATACATGCATGATATATCGTCCACCCCGTTGCTCACATTGCTCTGTATGTGATAACTGCGTGGAGCGATTCGATCATCACTGTCCTTGGGTGGGCCAATGCATTGGACTGGTATGTAGTTTAGATTGGTCAATTTGCTTTTTTTTTTTTTTGGTTGAATTGAGTGCTTGGTCCAAATTGAGAACCTTCTAAAACATTTAAGAATTACTCATTGAGGGATGTCATCTTTCTGAGTTGTAGTTCGAAAATTTTACATAAATTGACGGAATGGATTTTGCCAATGTGGTCATCCATCCAACACTCTGCTACTATCTTAGTTTATTGCCAAGCAGCGAGGACAATGAAAAGAACACGAACTTACAAAAATTCATTTGACTATATGGAGGAATTTGAATTCCTCAAATATTGTTTCCAATCAAGGTCAACATGTTTTCAACTTTTGTATGTGTTAGTGAAAGAATGGATTCTGTCTTAATTAAGCCAGGTATTTTTATCTTTTTGCAGCGCAATTACCGGTACTTCTTTCTGTTTGTTTCTTCATCAGCTCTTCTCTGTATCTTCATATTTGCAATGTCAGCTTTGAACATAAAATTTCATATGGATGATTATGGAACTCTCTGGAAGGCGATGAAGGAGTCACCTGCATCCATGATATTAATAGTCTATTCCTTCATTTTCCTCTGGTTTGTCGGGGGCCTCACGTGCTTCCATCTGTATCTTATAGGCAGAAACCAGGTCAGTTTGACACAATGGTTCTCGGTAGTCTTTTACTCTATATGCTTTCGAATGGCCCAGTGTCTAAATCTTTTAACATTTTTTCAGACTACATATGAAAACTTTCGCTATGGAGCAGCCAACAGGCACAATGTCTATGACCGGGGGTGCTTAAGGAATTTTCTTGAAGTATTCTGCACCAAGACAAAGCCTTCAAGAAACAATTTCCAGGCTTATGTACAAGAAGAGATGCCTGTGCGTATAACCCGAGAAGTAAAAATAGATGATTCAGAAGGAGACAGTCGGACAAAAGTACAAGACAATCTAGAAATTGATAATGACCTTTTAAAGATATCCCAGCGTCGTGATGCTTTAGAAGCTGATAGGAGTTGAAGATGAAGGCAGTGGAAGTTGAGTTCTCTTTGCATTAGAAATCTCAACCTGAGCCATTAATGAAACTCACTTATTCAAACATGGTAGAAAAAAAGGTTCGAGTTGGGAATTTGTTTGAGATTCTTGCCAAATACTAGTTTTTTATAGCAAATGTTACACAATTTAATGGGAAGAACTCCAAGGTGATCTTTATATCAGTTATTTCCGTTATTCTTTTTCTTTTAATTTCTATTCTGTGTTAATGTCTTTGAAAGTAGCAGATATACTCCTGGGAAGTTATCAGAGAAGAGAACCTTTTTTAGGTAACCACTGGAGGCTTCGGATGATTTCCATCATTACAATGGCACTGTAACCATTTCTCATATTGCTGAACAATATGGTTCTTAATTATAGTTTATGAAATTTTATATGTTGCATGCAAGCTTTGAATTCTGAGAAATGGCAAGAAGAAGAACAGCCATTGTGATTTTGCAACCAAAATGTTACCAACAAACGGGGTAAAGTTTCATTTTGAAACTTGTAAATTTTTTACTCCATTGTGTCTTTTACTTGGAGTTTGGACATAAATCTTTCATCTCTTTTATATTAACGCAGCTTGCTCTAGCATTTCAATAAATATTTCTAAACTGTAACGTATTTGATATGTATGAACTACACTTGAGAAAGCCAAATGAACGGAAATTTTTACAGAAAGCTTAAAAGAGACATAATTCGAAGTTAGAGAAAAAGATTGCGATTTGATTAAATGAAAAGTTATTCGATAATATTCCTCGACTAAAAGAAAGAAAAAATGAAAAAGAATGTTAAATTTATAAAACGTTACGTTTTTACAATATCATTTAAACGAAGGGAATTGCTAAACTTATGAATAGCATTTTTATTCTCATTTCCCAACAAACAATTCTTTCTATTTTTTCTTAATAACTAATTAGTTTTTAAAACAAAAGAGACTAATTAAATCATTTTTCAAAACTTAAGAAATTAATTTATAATTTACTCTTTCAAATTTGGTTTTGAGATTTCTTTTTTGCTTGGATGTGCAACCCTTGAAAAGTCACGAGGCTTGATAAGTAAAAAGGGAGCATACGAAGCCCGAGTTACAATCGAAACTTATTAAGAAAACCCAAACAAAAAGCTAACTCTTGAGCTAGCCCAACAAAACATTTTCCCATAGCTTAAGGGAAATTTTCAAAAGAACTAACCACACGTAAAATATTATTGTATTTGGCTAGTTGTTGAATTGTTCTCCATATAGTAAGTCATTTGACACCAGTGATGAACCTCAATCGTCATCCACATAACCAATTTAAGGTATGATCACCGTGCTACAATTGAAAATGTTTTTAAAATCAAGTGGTAATCCCCTAGTTCTCTAATCTCGATGGGGAATGCGTGGAGGAGGAAAAACCCTCTAGCAGACGAACCATTGATGCCCATCAAATTTAACTCGTCCTCACATTCACTCGGATTCTTCATTGAAGGAAGGCAACGACACCTAAATCCAAACAAATATCACACAAAAATCAATTTCTCATAAAAGAAAAACATGTCATAATTAGGTCCGATTGTTTTGGGTGTTGTATCTACCAAATTTTTTTTCTAAAATTAATTAACTTAACTAATTTTTATTATATGTTAATCTATGTTATATATATATAGGATTCAAACTATACCATAAATAGATTAGATCGAAGATAGTCTCGCTTAGCACAAGGTTTTGGATCGTTTACATAGATATTTTGGCACATTTTGGATCTTGTACATAAATATTTTGGCACGAACGATGTTCATATTAGTGTATGTGTCCTAGATCCAACCTTATTTGGATAGGTTTGACTTATTATAATATTGTATTATTTATTTTATTAGTGAAAGAAGTCTTTCTATTAATTATTATTGTTTATATTTATTGAATAGAATTAGATAGAAGTCCCTCTCTTTTAGAGTCGTCGCAAAAATATCTCCGAATATTTCTAAAACGAAAATATTAAACAAGTAAAAAAAAAGGTGGAGCTAGCACTCTATAATTTTTTAATACTTCTTGTGTGGACAATTGGACCGCATGGATTATCGATATAGGCTAAACACTTAGATGGTTCATTTTCTACAAAGGTTAAAATCTACGATATAAGAGGTACTCCTTTACTCATGCTTTAATTCATATATGCATGATTAGTTGATTCAATGGTTTGGCTTTGGGTGCCTTAGATGGAGGAATTTTTTTTTTTTTTGTATCTCTATAGGACGCATGATCTTTCAATTGGTATCAAAGCTTTCGTTGAATCTTTAATTGTATATTTTGTTAATTATGATTAATCGTATGAATTATCAATTTCTAATTATAAATATGATGTTTTGGTATTTTATATATATTTTAAAACTGAATTTTGGGCTTAAAAAGAGTGGGGCACGCAAGGCCTAAGTTGAACGTTGGCGCTTGCAGGCACAACAAGGAGGCATGGCTGGTCGCACACCGGGCACATGATAGGCTAGGCTAGTCGTGCACCTAATGGTCGAGCCGGTTGTGTGTCGGGCACGCGACGGGCCGGGCATGCCTCGAATACGCACGTTAGGCCGGTCGCGCGCTAACCGTACGACATGCTAAGTGTGCCTCGTGCACTAGGCCTCCCGCCTAGTTTAGTCATACATTGGGTGCATGACATGACGGGCATACGCTAGGCGTGTATTAGGCCTAAAGCCGAGCTTAGACGTGCCTTGCACACATCAAGCATACGCTAGGCGCGCACATGAGCAAGGCCCGCCTGTGCCGGGCATGCGAGTATACCTAAGGCTAGGCACGCATGAGTACACTAGACACCATGCCATGTTGGGTACCGGCTAGTATGGGGCACTAGCTAATTGGCCGGCTAAGGCCAATGCTAAGTATCGGCTAGTGGCTAGTGCCGAGCTAGATGTGTGTGAGCGTGCCGTGCCAATGGTAAGCTACGGCCGATGCTAGGCACTAACCAGCTATGGCGTTACGTGCCCATGGGTCCAAAGTGGGCCTAAAGCTCGAATAGTCTTATGATTGAAATTTAGAGAAATTTTAATTATTTTATAAAATAACCAAAACATATATTTATAGTTACAATTAATATGAAATATGTTTCATTAGTATGCCATGTATTAATATGATTGAAGCATGGATGAACGATATGGATGAGTTGATCTAATTTATGAGAATATATGTTTGTAATTTTTGGATAAATAAGAATTGCATGTCATGCCTTCTCTATCATTCCAATGTATTTCTCTTCTCATCTTACTCCCCTCGAATGTAACTCAAGGTTTTTTATTCAAATAAATATAATAACGAGATGATATGATAGTAAAATAGATACAAGGAGAAGAAACCAAGAAGTAAAGATAATTCTAAAGAATTTATAATAACTTTTCACCTAAGCATTAACCCACTAGTCTCCATGTGGCTTGAGGGGCTGGTAGTAGAGATCCATTACCATTCATCGATCCTTAAGTTCTGCATGAGATGTATGTTTTTATTATATGAATAATAGTATTCATGATAGGATTAATATGATTGAAGACTAATATGTATGTTAGGATAAGACCTACCATATTAAATCCATCAAATTAAATATCAAGTTAATTACCTAGCAACATTATGTGGATAAAACTCTCTTAATCGTTGTTGGCTTACTAAGATAAACCAAAATCATTTCTTCCTCAAGAGAATCAAATCATGAGCCATGTGATGACCTCGAATGTTTGGGTCCTACTTGAAACAAGTTGTTGGGTTTGTTGAGATAACTCAAGGTCTAATAAATTTATAGGCAAATATTGGTATTCATATAAAATGTGAGATAAAGAGGAGTTATCATACCAATGAGATTAGGAATTACATTAGATACAATTGATAAGGAGTTACTCGATCTAATCCTTCATGTATAACTTGTTGAGATAACTCAAGGTTAATACATGTTGGGGGATAGGATCCTAAACCCACAAAGGAACATGAATAAAAAAATTTTCTCAAGTCCTATATTGAAGGTTATAGAACTTGAAGAAAATAGTGAGAGCAAATATAGATTTTACTTCTTTAATTTATGCTTTATTTTATTTATATAATTCAATTAACTAAACTCGTATGCTTTTCTATCCTATCAAGGTTATTGCATAGTATGATCGGTAATACATCGATGTGATCGATGATTAATGGAAGTAATGAGATGAGTGTCATAAAATTTCTTGACTAGAAAATGAATAAGAGGAATGTCCTCCAATATGGAAAAGTTCTATATGTGATAAACGATAAGGAGTACCATGAACGGGTGTAAAAGAAGAGTTCTAATAGCATCTCAAGTATTTATGTTATTGAAATAAACGTTTCTACTTCTAATCCCACATTATGGGTATTTGATACTCGGATGTGGTGCACATATTTGCACGAATCTAAAAGGATTAAAAGTAGCAAGAAAAACTACTTTAGGAGAGTATGACTCGTACGTAGAGTTATACCATTAGTGATAGGTACCTATGAGTTAGCACTATCATCCGGACTTATGCTTACATTCGAAACTCGTTATTATATTCCTAATATAAATAGGAATATCATTTCTATTTCTTGTTTGGACTAAAATGATTTTTCATTTTATTTGAAAACAAAGGTTGTTCTTTTTATAAAAATGATATTTTATATGAAAGTGTTGATATAAATATGACTTATATGATTGGAACATAGACACACCCATGTATAGCATAAATACAAAAGTATTCAAAGCAAATTATCTAAACAAGACTTATCTATGGCATTATCGACTTGATCATATAAATGAGAATCGCATATCTAAACTATATAAAAATGGATATCTAGAATCATTTGATTATGAATCTTGTGATGTCCATGACTCTTGTCCTCTTGGAAAAATTACAAAATTCCCTTTTAAAGGAAAAGGTGAGAGAGCTATTGATTTGTTAGGCCTTATACATAGTGATGTATGTGGTCCTATGTCCACCCAAACAAGAGGAGATATGATTATTTC